AATTCGGGACGGGCAAAACTTTTTAAAAAAATTTCGGGCCGAGCTTGAGAAATTAGGCCAGATGCCGATCACTAATTGACCTATCAACGCAGGCTGACCTCTGATAAATTGGAAATTTTGGTATTTCTAAAAAGAAATCTTCGATATATTTATTTAAATATTTATTTCAAATTTCATAATATATTTGTTTATTACTTATTATGTAAATAATTATGTTATCACTTATTATGTAAATAATTATGTTATTACTTATTATATACATAAATGATTTATCAATAAAAATATTTTATATACTTTTAGAATTGCAATTGAGTTGAATATAAACCATGACCGATCATTATAATATATTTAAATGACATATGTTATGGTATAGTTAAATTATAGATGTTATACTAATAAAAAGTATATTAAAAATTAAAACCATTGGTATCTTTAGAATACAAAATTAGATATGATATCGGATCGGTAATCGGCCTCCAAAAAGTGGTGTCGGTACACCCCTAATTTTATTACCTTTACATTCATAAAAAATAAATATACCTTTAGTCTAGTTAATTTATTTGGAAGCTTGAAGAAAAATATATTATTTATATAAATGTTAAAAATCTTGATTATTTTAATAAAAATTTTCTTAAAATTATTCGTACGGTTGCGACAGCTATTAATTAAAGATTATTTTTATGCTGACAAGCGATATTTCGAATTCGTTTTTAGCATTCATCGAATCTAAATGTTTTCTTTAAAATTTATATCAAAAATCAGTGGATTTTGGTTATCGTACTAGAATCTACAAAAACAAAAAAAAAGCAAAGAACTATCCGTAATTCTTTATATGGCAGCCAAAGTCCCATATGTTTTTATAACCGTGGCGGCAAACGCCGCCCCGCAGTTTTAGTGTGGATTTCATCCTAATTTAACATGGTGAATGAGCGAATTACTCCGAGGATTCGAGCGGATTTTATTCAATAAGTAAGTAAAAAATAAGGGAACGAAATTCACGAAATTAAATAAAAACGAAGGAACTGATTGCTCCGCACCGCCGAATTAGTGCAGCTTTCATTTGTAATTAATCTAGGGGGAGGGTACGGGACGATCAACTGCATAAAGAATGAATCAAGCAAGTAATATTTTTTTATCGATATTCACTATCTCTTTATTCTAATAACGCATCTACATGACAGGATTTTCACTGGATGCAAACATCCCTCAAAAACCTATGCCTACCCCCCTAAAAATTTTTTATTACCACATTATTAATTACACCTTTTTTTATTACAATCGTACTCCCTTCATAATTTTAAAAAGAATAACTAAAACTATTTTAACTCTTATCAAAATATTTATGAATATAAAAGTTATTTTTTGGAACATGAATTCCATTAAAAACCCACACATTTACAATGAATGCACTATTATAGTATATTGTTTGGCATGAATATGAGTTTGCTGAGAATCTAACCCTTTTTAATAGCAGAAAATTTTATTTGAAAAATAATGTTTATGATTGTATGCAATATATCGTTTTGGTTATCAATGTATTATAATAAGGTTAATATTAAAGTATTAATTTTTACAATAATATATTTTCTCCCATTTTATCTAAAAATTAATAGATAACCCCCCAATAAATTTATCCTACTCTCCTTAAAGGAGCCTATAACTCTACTCCCCTCAAATGCAAACTATTCCTAACCCCCCTCCCCTTCCAATTTTTTTTAATAATTATTTTTTATTTTAATTCACTAATGATAATAAATGCTTGAAATTTAAAAAACAACTATTTTTAATTTATTATAAATAATAATTGATCTACATTTGATTATTTTTATATTTCTTTCCAGAAGTCTAAAATATTTGCATCCTTATTAATTCTTTTAATGTGTAAAAAAATTATAATAATGAACTAATTGGAATCCATTCACTTTGATGATAAAATTGAATGATTTATGTTTTTCCCATAATTCCGTTAAATGCTCTAGCAACCTCTTCCTGATCAATGGTTAATAGGATTTGATATCTGGGGTCTAAATATTGTGATGCATAAATAATATTATTATTTAAATAAGTATCCTTTCTAAATCTCATATGCCCTAATATCTCATTGGAAACATTATTGTCTTATCCAATTCTAAACGGCATTTTATCCAAATGCCATAAAAATCGGAGAGGCACATTAGCTCCGATTGTAGCCTCAAGGTTATCGCCTTAAGGGTTTCAAAACTACACTTATGTTAGCTATTGAAACCCATTCTGTTTCGTCTAGAATAACTTCCGATGTTGTAACAATGTCCATACAAAAATTTTTCAATTTTAACAATCGATCCCCATCTTGTTAAAATCAATTATTGCTATAGGTTTTTTCATGATTCTAACGATCGTTGGAGTTTTAAAAAATTTTACCACTTGCCTTGCTCGGTCATTAATCGACACATAACTTGTCTTTAAAAAATCATTAATGGCTAACTGTAATTTGTGTGCCGCACATCTAATGCTATAACCCTTTGGGGTTGAATCTTTCAACATCTGGTCCAGATCTGCTATTTCTTCATTTATTATATCATCTTCATCCCAATTTTATCCTTCCACAGATTCATATAATTATCTTATAGACTTGATTAAATTTGCACCATTATGTTGTTTAATGGAATGCCAAATTTATTTTAGGGTCCCATAATCTTTTTTTTAATATTATCTCCTTTAGATATTTCTTTTATCGCCAAATTTCTTAATACGATAATATTACCTCGAACATATTGAATATTTATTCCCAGAATGCTTCTATCTAATCGTTTAGCAGAATCAATTGTTAAACTAACTAATTTATTTAGTCTCTAATTTTATAACGATTAGTGGACATACCCAGGGCTTTAGTAATAGGGTCAATAATTTTTTAAACCCTGAGTCTTCAATTATTGATAATAAGTGATTCCTCTTAATATGTCTCTCTAAATTGCTATCATGACTCCCTGCCAACACTACATCACATATTCTACATTCAGAACCTCCCTTATCATTAAATTTGAAATATTCAAATTTAATTTAAATTACTATTTAGAATATAATGATTCATGTTTTTTGAGAACTTGTGGTCCCACCTCCGTTTTTATAGAATAATTTTTTAAATATTTCTTAAAGAATATTTAAATAAAACTAAACTAAGTTTGCAATTACAAAATAACTCAGATGTTGCCTGATATTAATTTACATATGACATATTCTAGAAAGTAAAATATTTGATTATTAAATTTTCTTTATTAATAAATAATCACCATTTTTATCCGACAATGTATTATTTTTACAACTTTAAATCATTTTTGAGCTCATTTTAATAAATTTAAAAATCGGATTTTACCAGAAATATATTTATCATGTTTGGAATACCTATCTTATGAATTATAGAAAATTTTGCCGTTATCCTTTGAGTCATTTATAACTTATATGTAAAAAATCTATGAGAAAATGAATATAAAATTATATTTAGTTTAAAAGTTTAAGAAAAAATTGTCTGAAATTCATAGGGTAGGTACTCCGAACATGATGGAATACATTTCCTGTAAAATCTGATTAAATTTTTTAAAACGCCGTCAAAAAATGGTTTAAAGTTGAAAAAATAATATTGCTGGACACATTGACGCCAATATATTTTTTAATTTCACTTATTTAATCTAAATTATATTTGATAATTTGCAACTTACCTTTTTTAAAAATGTTTTACCACGTGATTTTGTACTTTCCTTTGTCTTACTATAATTTAATAATCCACAACAAAAATATTCAAAAATAGATATTATTATATATTATCATCATTTATAAAGAAAATTTTAAATTGCTTTGCTAGGTAAAATTTATCACGAAAAATTGCCTACTCTTAAATATAACAAAAATGAGTCCACGATCAAAAAATGTTTATTTTAAATTATTATTGTTTTTGAATAAAAAAACAATTGTTTCAAATAGGAAATCTTTTATAAATGAAAATCATTACGTTTTTTTATATTATATTATATTATTTTTAAATATATAATTTAAAATAAATTAAATGAAAGTTTAAAATGAAAAAAAAAGCTTCAACCCTGAACAACCCTAAATTTTAAAAAAGGGTTTGGGTTCAGCGAAATATCGAGGGTTTGGGTTCTCATCCCTGTTACTACTTTTTATGATTTTCCTTAAATTTACAAATTATTCCCACAATAATTAACAGTAAAAAAAATCAAATTGTTATTATTTTTTTTCACAAACAAAGAATCAATTATATATTGACCGATTGTGATTACTCAAGATAAAATAAAACTCCTTATACTATAAAAGAAATAATCAACGAATTACGAAAATCAAAGCTAAATACAATACCTTTTTTTAATTTTATAATATTTTAATATTTGCTCGCTCTAATTTAAATTCAGTTGACTTTGATCATAAATTGTTTGAATAAAACCGAACCGTCATGATTAGCAACTGGGTGGTAACTGCACCGTCGTTATAAAATTTAGCATCAGGACCAGGAGCGTTGTTAAATATTGTTCGATTTTATAATATTTTTAAATGTTTTTTTAATTCTCATCCTTGTTCTTTAAAGTCATCAATAAATCTGAACAATAGCTCTAAAAATTTTTCATTATAGATAAACTCAATTGCTTGAATTTATATCTGAAATTAGTTAATTTTAAAATTACCTGATATAATATAATGCATTTTTTATTCGTAAGTTGCTTTATTGCCTAATTTAAAAATATATATTTAAAAAATAATATTAAAACTTAGAAAAATTAAAAAAATATATATGTTAATAGAAGAGCAAAAGGGAAATTTGCTGGCCCAGGTAATCCCTCGTTAATAAAGAAATATTTGCTAAATTTATTGCATGATTTTTTTTATACCAATTAAAAAAATTTAACACCAAAATAATTAAATATATTAAATACTATCTAAATCATTTTATAATATTGGCCAATTGAATATTTTGTTGATATAAAAAAAATAATTTTTTTTTAAATATGTAGGTACAACAAAGTATCCTAAAGAGGGCACCACCAATCTACACATGGATATTAGCGATGCCACTAACGTCATGGCTTACGTTGGGGTCCCAAATGATTCCTTAAATAATCAAATTCCGGAATCTGAATTGAATGACTATTTTTTCGATTTTTCAAATGAAATTTCCGATTCCGACCCCGATTATGGCAGAGTTATTGGTATGTTATATTTTCACAAATTTTCCACTATAGCATCAATCTCATTATGATTTAATCAGGATTTAAAAAACTATAAAATAATATTAATTTTTTAAAATTTATTCCCAATTATATATAAATAGATTATTTTATTATTATTTGATAAATTCCATTTTTGAGCTGTTTAGTCAGTTCCTCTATTTGTGAGCTGATCTAGTCAGCTGGAAAACTGAAAGTGGGGATTCATTGTTTATTATTCCTATTCAAGAGTAGTCTTCATAGAATTAATTTTTTTATTTTATCATTTATTGGGATATGACAGTCTGACAAATTTAACGTAAAGAGTAGATGAGGGATCGGTAGTTTTAATGAAATCAGTTCAAAGTTTTTATTTTCCCTTTTTTTTATAACTTTGTTAAGAGGTTTTTTTTAATCGATTCTTTCTTAATTTATTTCTTATACCTTAAATATTACGCAATATTACATTTTTTTAAAACTAAATTTCTTTATTTCTATTTTTGAGAACACAAACAAAATTGATTAAATATATTTCTTTTTTTTTACAAAAGCCGAATAATTTTCAATATATTAAAAAAAATAAAACGAATAAAAATAATAATAATTTATTTTTTATAATGCTATATATATTCCAATTATTACAATGTAAATTATTATTATTTATTATTTTTCACAAATGCTGATTTAAAAATAAACAACTCTATTTAAAAAAAAAACAATCCAAAAAGATGACTATTTTTTATAACAAAAATACACTAAAAATCCATATTATATTCACTGCCTACAGCAGCTTCACCCTTCAAAAGTAATTCTCTTCCTCCCTCTCCGCCTCCGACAGAATATAATCCAAGAAATCTCCAAATGTTCCTGGCCACTCTGCGCCGTTTGCCGCGTCATCCAGTGTTCCAAGTTCCTCGGAATCAATTGTCCAGTCTTCATCCAATACATTCCATCCCTCCTGTTCTCTTAGGCGCTCCTCCGGTAGTAACCCTCCCTCCGCCAATTCCCTTAATGCCTCTGTCTCACTTATTTCCTCTTGTTCTCGCTCCTTTCGGGATCAATTTCCACTTCCCCTGCCCCTACGCTGCATTCCACTATCGCTTGAGATTCAGCAGCCTAGGGTGGTTGTGGAAAATATGGGAAGTATGGTCGCTAAGGTGGAACTGGCTAACGGGAGGGAAGGCGTGAGGCACCGGGATAGCTATGCAGACGAATAGAGCAGGAAAAATTAAGGGGCATGTTGCGGAATATAAGGGGTCAGTAAGAGATTTCTGGTAAACATAGCTAACCAACATGCGGAGAAATTGGGTTTTCAAAGATTTTGAAGTCCATTTCATAGTAACGCCTCGGCAGACGACGTTGCTTGGATTCTCACCGGCCGGGAGAATTAAGAAATGTGCGGAGAATTATATTAGATGATCCTAGGGAGGCTTGCAGGGATGTGCGTCAGTGATACGGATGTGGGGAGTGGGGGCATATTTGTCGGTCGTATCCAAGGCGGAGGCAGACAGATATTGGAATGATGGAGCGAATGATGATGGGAGTACCCGAAGCCTGTCGTTCGGAGCAAGGAGGGGAGGATTGGAATGCGGCTGAATTGGGGGAATCCGGATCTCAAGCGATGGTGGAATGCAGCGTAGAAGCGGGGGAAGTGGCGGAAATCGATCCAGAGAGGAGCGAGCCTGGGGGACCATTGGAGCGAGAACAAGAGGAAATAAGTGAGACAGAGGCATTAAGGGAATTGGCGGAGGGAGGGCTACTACCGGAGGAGTGTCTAAAAGGACAGGAGGGATGGAATGTATTGGATGAAGACTGGACAATTGGTTCCGAGGAACTTGGAACACTGGATGACGCGGCAAACGGCGCAGAGTGGCCAGGAACATTTGGAGATTTCTTGGATTGTATTCTGTCGGAGGCGGAGCAGGAGAAAGAAAATTATTTTTGAAGGATGGAGCGGCTGTAGGCAGTGAATATAATATGGATTTTTAGTGTATTTTTGTTATAAAAAATAGTCATCTTTTTGGATTGTTATTTTTTTTTAAAATATAGTTGCTTATTTTTAAATCAGCATTTGTGAAAAATAATAATAATTGGATGGAATTTTTATTATACAAAGAGATGTTTTCGACTTTGTTTGAATATTTCGAATTGATAATGAAAAATTGGCTGAGTAGATTAATTAAAAAATTTTATTAAAGTGAGAATGATTATTACCATTTGTGTTCCTTAAATGCATAGAATTTAAATATATTCTTTATTAGTTGATTTCAGTGGCGTCACTAGGGAAGGGCGCGCAGGGGCTCTAGCCCCCTAAAAAAATTTTAATAGCCCCCTGAAGCATAATTTTTTTAAATGGCTCCTTAATATCCCCTTGAACTAAAATTAAATTGTTTTGATTGCCCCCTTAAGGATTTCTTTTTTAATTCTGTTGCGTAATATATAGATTTAATTTTATTATTTAAAAATTAATAAGACTATCAATTTTTATTAAATGATTACTATTTTAATTATTATAATATATATAAATTATTTCACTATGTCAGCTTGCAATCAAATTCTGCGTTAAAATTTGAATATCAATATCACTCACTAAATATTAATTTAGCATTATATAACCCTTAAATAAATACAATCATTTATTAATTTAAAATTAACAAATTTAATATTGTAAGCCAAGTTTAAAATCACTAATCAACTATATTATTCATTTTAAAATTTAATTACCATGCCTGTTCCTAAAAATATATTCAAGGTCCAATTAAGTATAGGAAATTTCTTTATAAATAAGTAGACATATAGTTTATAATCCCTTATTATATATAATAGGTTATAAAATATTGAGTAAAATACCACTTTTATAGACATATTTGACAGTTATATAATATATTACAGTTAATATTTTAATAAATTTTATTAATAATGTTAATAAATATAAGTAACAATTTGCATTCAAATCTTTAACGCTATCTATTTATTTAAAAATATTATTAAAATTAAACATCTTATTATTTATCTCACAATGTGTGTAATAAATTAGATATCTTTTCTTCTCTTTTTTTTACATGTTTCTAGCAAAGCTATTTTTTTATTATTTGAAAAACAGTTTCGAGTTAATTTTTTAATACGAATATATTTTTGATCTTATTATAAACTACTATTATATATATATAATATACAAACTCGAGGTGGTGCCACAATAATATATAAAATCTTAATTGCTTTCATCATATCATGGTTAAAATGTTTCATTTCTAATATGGCATCCTTTTTGTGTAAATAACTTAAGGCTTCAATATATTTACATAATATCTTCTAAAGATTTTTAGTGTTTTTGTTTTATCAATTTATCTAACATAATAAATTTTGATATGAGTTAACATCATGAGTGTAATAGCTATGATTGCAAATTAACCAGCATCTAATTTGTGTGGCAATGTAAGTTAAGATTATTACTACTCTGAGAGCATATGATTGCATTTAGATAAGCAATAATGGTCAACTGTGTAGTCGTTTATATATAATTAAAAATGGATAATCTTTTAGAAATTTAATATCTCACAATAATTTTCTCGATTACTTATCTACCATCATATCATCTAAGAGGAAGCTCTAACCACCATATAGTTTTATGATTTGGATTCGTCGTTTATAATCTCTTCTTCAAGAATTGTTGATTTGGTTAGGCCTATAAATTTTTCCTTATTAGTCCATTCTATAAAACATTGTCTAAAAAGGTAACAGAGAGTACTTATATTAGTTTCATGACCTTTTGTCAATGTAAGTTGATAAGAATAAGATTTTATCATTTGGTTTTTAAATACCATTATAAATTAAGGCATATGTATGAATTATTTAACCTTTTTTATCACTTGTAATTCTTTAGAAGCAAAATTTTTAATATCAGCAAGCAATAATATTTTATACTATAATAAATAGATTTTGTATTAAAATATATTATTTTTAGAAATGTCTTGTATTGTTTTAATTATTTATATACTAGTTTATTTTGTATGCATATTATAATAAATGACAAAATATGAAATTCAGAATAATTGTTTAGAGTTAGCAAATTTTTAAAAAGTATAATATATTAATATAAAACCCGGCCGAAGACCCGCAAATTAGGGGGTATGTGGGGTGCGATAGTAAAGGCTAGCGATGCCCCTGGTTGATTCAGTTTTTAAGTCTTCTTTATATCTTACATTGAATGATGATTGTAAATTTGCAATATTATGAAATGTGGCCCAACATAAATTACCAGAATAGATGTTTCATAACCCTTATTGAACCCTTAAATTTCATTCAATATATATTCTTTTAATCTCTTACTTTTTATTATATTTGTGTAAAAGTTTATCAAAAAGTTGAACTCCAATCTATATACAAGTTTATCTTTATTTATTTTAAGAAAGCTTATCGAGATACTTTTTATTTCAACATTATTTACAATAGATGATCGTCCTTGAAAAGAAGATATAAAAGACAATAAAAAGATAAGCGTTCTCAAAATAACTTTAAAAAAAATGCAAATTAACAGTTAATTAATGACAAAAAATATAGATCCGTAAACTTGAAAAATACAACCTGGGGGGAAGGGGAAGATCATCTATCATGAATGCAACCCCTGCCCCTATTTACTAAACATTTACAATCGTTTCACAAAATGCCCTCTATCTCGTCGTCTGTGAAACCGATATCTGGCATGTTATTGGGTTCCCTCCTTGTGCTGTCTATATGGGCTACACTATTCACCAATTGTTCTCTCGACCCACATTGGGACCAATTCTGCAAATGATTCATCGGCTGACATAAATAACACGTTCTTATCGGGTTTTCTCATTTTTTCAGAGTTCACAGGTTGTTCCCGCAATTAAGGTAGTTCAGAATGCCTTTCAACATGTATGGAATAATATGTAGCCCCTATGAGACTATGTGCAGAACATGGATACGCATCTGTTAGTTGAAAGTAATTGAAATCCAAGGGAAACCATACGATTGAGGAA